CATGTATGATGGTCAAGACGGTCTTTATCATATCAGTGATATTCACGTCTGGTTGAAGCCACGTAAATAAGGCTGCAATTTTTACGAATTCAATTGATCCTACACTTTAAAATGCGATTCTACCGTGCCAAAGACACTTCCACCCCATCTAACTCAACTGATGTACACATTACGGATCAGTCCACTCAAAAGTAGAGGAATGCGAAGATTGTAAATGCTTCCAAAACTGACAGTTGTGGTGATCCTGGTCCCAGCCCACAGCGGTTAGTGCATTTAGGCCTTCTGATTGTAGACCTGTTGAATGGCAAAATTACATCTTGGGTGTCCTGATGGACTCAGCCTCACCTTCAAACCCCTTCATCACCAAAGTACCATTCCCGGGTGCCATTTAAAGGCTGAAAACTCTTAAGTAGCTTGCTTGTTTATGTATGTGTAAGCACAGACATAGGCACACCCACAAAGCGGAGGGTGTAGGCCCACATACGTCCGACAAAATTCAAGTGATTGACATCTACGCAGTAATTTGAATGGACCAACTGTCTCTAGCCATCACGGGAAGTAGCGTCCAACCTCTGTCAATCATAAATGAAGTAAAAAAGAATCAAAACCTCCCCCGTCTGCAATCGTGCATTAAAGTCGTGCAAATCATCCTTAGGGTAGATGCAATCACACACCATGGGGAAGTGTTGAACTCCTGGTAGTCTTGGCGGTCAAATTATCCCCGAAAAAAAAAGGAATTTGGCGTGTGAATTGGGGGAAAAAAGTACATGTCAAACATTTCCTTCCGACGCATTGGAGGACTTTATGAAAAATATAGGGGAAGGGATTGAGAATGTCCCAGCGGTTTTCAGTCAGCCCACTCGGCGACACTGTTTATGGACTACATCGTCAATGGCATTAGGATCGGACTCGCCTGTTCCCTTTTTATTGTCAATCGAGCGAAATCGTTGTAGTCCCTTAAGACCACGTCTTATCTTAAATTTTCTTTTCAAAAAAAATAATAAAAAGTGAAAAATGTGAAAATCAGGTGGCTTTAGGGTAGAATTCATGAAGTGTTTTTCTCCCTTTTCAAGTCACCATATGACCTGACATTTTTTGTGGTGCTAGCATCCCTATCCAACGGAGGATGAGAAACGACAAATTGCAAGCCAAACAAATTTGACATTACTCCAGGTTAACAATTGGTTCATTAATGCTCGTCGCCGGATCTTACAACCCATGTTGGAGACAACGGGTCCCTACACCTCGGTTGGTCGTTCCGCCTCAGGTGATGGTGTGGCTGGTTGGGGTACCCATAAAGGCAAAAACGGTGATCAACCGCTGGTGAATAAGAAGAAGAAGGCTGCAACAACCAGGTGAATGCATTACTTACCATTTTCCGGTGACTTTCTATTTTGATTGACGCATCTCGGTTCCAACAAAGGCTCTTTTCTAATGTAGTCAACCGCGAGGCAGAAATATCGCGTCTGGGTGAAGTGTCACGGAGAGAGGAGGCACGTCAATCACTTCCCGTAGATACATGACCCTGAGGCCAACAGGGGGAAGGTGGTATTGAGTTCTCAAGTCGTGGCATAAATTGCTGTAGTTACAGGCTTTCAAAGTGAGGGTGTTGACAAAATGAACACCGAGAGCAATAATTTGATATCTTCGTGTCATACGAGAAAAGAAGGTCTGTTAGTAAGACAGAGACAGCCTCAGAAGCTAAAAACATGGACAAGGGGCTAGAGCATCGAGGTAATGCCTGTTTTGTAGGGGCTGCGCGCTGGGAGTACTCCTGTGAATGTAATAGAAGCAAACAATAATCGTGCATTCCTTCTGCATCTTTAACAGGCCATCAAACAACCGTTTTTGGCCGGCCAGTTTAGCGGCTGCAGCAGCATTACTACCAAACGCTGCTGGCGTTATCTCCGGTGCCACGTTAAATCGAAACTCAGAGACGACCTTAGTTTGGACCAAATCACACAGCACTCCATCCAACTCACTCTCTGGAGCTGTACGAACTGGAGCTTTGCATGAGACCAGTCCTAGTGGTAGTGGTGGTGAGGGTGATTCTAGTCCATCTTCCCTGAAATCTCGTCCACGAAAATTATCTTTGGTGGAACCCAAAGATATGCGGCATGATGGAGTGTATGCCGATTTTGCAGTTGGACGATTTCCTCCCTATGTCTACCATCCAGAGGGTGGAGTAACGTCGACTATGAGTGAGTTTGAGAAGTTTTCTTTCACTCGTGAGATGTTGGGGAAGTAAGAGTGGAGGATGGGTAAAGGATTTTAAAACAGCCTTTAAACGCGATAATGTACTGCCAAATATTTTACTTCTATCTAATCATAAACAAATGTTTAATTGCCAATCTGAAGTATGAATTGTGCAATAATTAGAGGACTAAAAATCGGGAATGAGTCAGTATAATGAAAGATGTTTCACCACTTGTTTTCCTTTAGAGCCTGAGGCATCGTACGACTCAAGAGCCTTGAGCACAGCTAGCACCTACCAATCCTTTCTTCAACACGCCTTCCTACAACATCAACACCATCCACCGAATTCGGACATAAAACCATCACATTCACTACCACCGCCACCGCAGAATTATACCAATTGGTCACACTTTTTGGAGGATAGACATACAGCCCAGCATCCGGATTATGGCGTATCAGGGTCTCCTAGTACAGCTGTTCAACAGTATACACGACCGGAAGAAGGTCTCTACTTCAGTGGGCATGCATCTTCGTGGAGCTACAATGTAACCGCAAGTCAGCCAGTATCAACAACATCTTTGACCGGTGGAGGAGGCAGCAGCGGTGGTGGTGGCGGTGGTATTCCCACGGATATTCGATGTGTTCAAGCTGATACTACCTGGCCTCCAGTAAATTCGGGATCATATCCCACATCCTCATTCCCCGTGGAAACAGAACGATCAATCCTGTGACACATGCATTCAATCACTCACTCACACATTGCAATATCATATTTCTGTACTGCTTATCCCTACAGGAATTTTCGTTTCGTCTGTTTAGAACACAAAAAGAAGGAAGTAAAGGACAATGAGCCTCTCCACATGTCCACGTTTGTGCGTGTGTGTGTGTACAGATGATGTGTGTGTGTGGTATTAGTAAATAAAGAAGCTTAGCTGTTTGAACAAGTAAATATATTCGTCCAATTTTCGAATGTTCTACCGGTTTCATTTCATTTACTCTTTTTCTTCTAGAATGATTAAACTGCGCTCACAGAAACCGAACAGAGGTGGGGAAAGAAAAAAACGAAACCTCGGGGAGTGATAATGATACGCTTAGTAGTAGGTAATACCCATAAAAAGGGTGGTGGGCTGACTTTCAGTTAGGATTTAATTCTGGTTTATTTATTTATTGTTCTAAGTCCATCGAGACTGTTAAATGAGGGTAAAAAATTCCCCACACACACGCGCGGTCCAAATGGAAGACAATAAATGCTGAAGGTCGAATTGGTGTTAGGGTGTTGTTTTTTTTATGTTACTTGGAGAAGAAGTTAAATGGAGGACAATTTATCAAGTTAAACTTACCAAAAAACCCTTTTTCCCTTTAGGTAGAGTGGTAAAAACTGTTGGACGATTCGATGACCACCATATTCTCCTGTGGTGGTGAGTGGTCCTCCAACTTCAAAGGGGAGAGATAATGACACGGTATCCTATCGGTGTGACACACTTTCCTGTGTACTTGACAAGGCGAGTTTTACTTCGAGCGCAGACCTACAGAAGTTTTGCATAGCATTCGGAGGTGTGATGATAGCAAAACTGGTTCTGGTGTTGCATCACTTCAAACCGCTTCGAGGCTGGGAGGACTCTCCACCTCACGTCATTTACTCGGCTGGATAAATAGTCAGAATTAGTTAATCAGTTGGAAGAATCATCTCATACCACTTGAAAACCTGAAGCATGAGAATGGCGCCTAAGGATGGAATAGAAGGCAGACACTGCTTCATTTTCACTCATCAAAGATGTGAAAGGGGCCGACTTAGTCAACCAATCGAAAGGAAGTCCAATTAGCACAAGACTGTAAAAGTGGGATAGGAGAGGAGGACCGCCTCATTCCCGCACTCCCCTTCAACGTCCATATTCCTTCAGTGACATTTCTGATCGTTAGTATTACATAATCTCATGATCACACACGGTGTAGGCAGAGGACACATGAGGGACACAAAGAAGGATAGAAGACGAGGTGTTCTTTTTTCATCGGCTTCTAAGGGCGAAGTGTCGAGGAAAAGCAAAATCCGTGGTAAACTTGTGTCTTGTTGAAGACAGACACAATAAGAAGCTTGCCGACAGTCACGCAGAAATCTACACAATCTTACCTGATGTAGGCGACATTATTGGTCCTAGGCGTTCCCCTAGAAGAGTCTAACTGTCAACCCTTACATTGGGACATCGTTTATGGACTCGTGAATGACTAATTCGATTATAAACTTCAAAATTAAACCCGATTCTTCAAGTCGCCATCAATACTGTGGAATATTCTACACTGGGCACTTCACCACACATAGCATAGACTCGGAAGGTAGGTAGAAGAATCATTTAAAAAAATCCATCTCCTCCATCCACTTTCATGCATCGACTCACAAAAGTTTTATTTACTTGCCCACTTTCAGTCATTACAGCAAAATCCACCTCAAATAGGCTCCAAATGCATTCAAAAACGGTCCAGATGATCATAAGTAAGCAAGGGGTGATGATGAAGATGACGTTAAGGGACAAAATGTTGGGGAAAATAAAGTGATTAATCTACTACCATGCGCCAGTAAGCTCCGCAAAACACGCATCACATACACGAAGGGGATCCTTCGAAGCCGATGTTGCTGTCTTCTTGGAGGAACACGCCTGACAAAACACCTTGCCGCAGTAACGACAATGATGCTAAAATAGAGAGGAGATGCTAGAAACAGCTACAAGTTTTCGCCAGAACTACACAGATCCCCTCCAGATGCTCTCCATCAATTCAACTTCCTCCCTTTACTAAGGCCATCTAAGCTGCTAATCCGTCGACTCCTCAGCACATCAATTACGCCTTCCAGAATGAATTGAAGTGCTACGTTAGTAAATACCAGCCACGACCTCGAGTTGTGCCCTACGGCAGTGCGTTCATTCCGTGGGTTTAGCATTGTTGCAAGCTTATAAGCGCGTAGATGAATTAGGAAATGGCATACCTTGCGAACACTGATGGAGAATTCCTTCTGACAATTGGAACAAAACTGTACAGATTCATCTGAGACCCACTGACGGTTGGTCAGTCGATCTTGAGTAATCTGACATTAGAAGAAACACAAAACCTTAGCATAGTAGAACCAAAATGTTTCAAGGGGGTAAAAAATCACCTCATCTCACCTGAAGAGCCTGATTCTGCCGACCCAAATCAAGAATTATCCTTTGAAGGCCTTCCAATTCTTGATGTGAGGTCTGTAGAGCCGTTTCCAACTGTTTCGACCTATTCTGACTCTCGATGAGTTGATCCATGAGAGCCTGATGCTCCGCATAGGTTGAGCTTAGTTTGGACTCAAGCTCAGTGACAATACTTGCGTGATTTCCCAATTCCTCGTTTTGTGCAGCTAGCGTGGAGTCCATTTCCACTAATTTCTGTTTTAAAGCGTTCTCAGAGTCAACCAAACAGGTTAGTTGAGTCCTCAACTCATTCTGGAGTAGAAAGTAATGGGGGAAAACGAAACAGATCTCGAATGATGATGCGAAGAGGTGATGGCATTCTAATCATTGACTACATCAGCTCTTCTCTAAAACGGTCAGTCCAATCGCTCACACAGAGGGTGAGCGAGGAATAGGATCCAGTTTAATGTTTAGAGAATAATTGGGGTTTACAAAGTAGATGCTAAGTAAAGAAAGGGAATAAAGGGAGCTAATTTGATAGGCAATAGAACGGCGCCACCATGGGGAAAGAGGAGACAAGGGGTATCAAGATAACAGCGATGATGGTGGAGAGGGAGCCACAATTGATTAGTGCGTGGTGATATAGTAACGTCAATAACCATTACTTATCGTCCCGCAGTTATCAAAGAAAGCTACAGAAGTGGATCGTTTGACAGGTAAATGTGATAAAACAGATAAGCACGTCCAGTGGTTGCTTCCACAAACACGAAGAAGTTAATATTGCCATGGAAGGGAGACGGCTAGATGGAATATGCTCGACGCGGAGCTTCGTCCAAATTGCCCAAATTAATCCTAGCCTAACAAATTGCGTTTTATAAGGCACGCGATAAGCAGGAAACACGGGAGAAATTGTAACAGCTGGAATAGACGAGTGGAGACGCCCCTCAAAGGAGAGGATCACAAAGTCACCTAACCCTTTTGTGAGCCTAAAGTACCCATTAAACGGTCAGGAATGACTGAGGAGCCACAGGGCCCCCATTCCTTTAACAAATATTCCTAACATAAATGAAAGTGAATGAAATGCAGGATTCACTAAATCTAAGCCAGTTTTGCCTTTTTTGGGGAGAGTCTCAAGCAAGAAGAAAGTCTGATACCAAATTCCAGCTCTCCACTTTTGTGTGTGCTAAAACTCCGGGGTGTGATCCAGTGGCACCACTCACCAGTTTAACATTCAGCTTAGCGTTTGTCTCATTCACTGAGTTGCTCTCTGAGGTCAGGTTATTGATGTGCTTTGTTAAGCGGTCGCATTCATCGGATTTCGCCTTTGCATCGCTCATAAATTGGTGCAGTTCTTGCTGTAAGGACTGAAAGAAAGCGAAAGGATAGGTAACGGCTGTGACGCGGTTATTCGAAAGGTCATTCCTGTCAACCAAACCTTAATTGTGGCATCCTTCTGTTTGGCGGCTTCTTCGGCCTCATCGAGGGAATTTCGCAGTGTCTTCTCATTGCCTCGCATAACCTTGACAGTTTTCTCAAATTCTTTGATTTGCCCCTCCTTGACTTGAACCTCTAGCGAAAGGGTCGTAATCTAAAGAAAAAGACAAAAGATAGGTTCTTTTTGCCGATTTACTAGTGTACTACTATCTTTAGAGGAAATACCTTTTCCACAAGAGCTTTATTCTCTGACTTCAGGTAATTCAAGGTTGTCTTTAGATCATCTAAATTGGTCTTCAGAGAGTCAATTTCTTCCTGAAGTTCAACAATCAACTGCTCCGAGGGGTTTAATGTTTTGGGCTAAAAAAGAGGCATGGTCTCAAATGAAATCCCTAGAAAAAAAAATTTTCCAGTTTCTAGAGCTATTTAGTCAAGAAAAGAAAAATGACACCCAAAGGTGCTTAATAACAAGCAGATTTCTTTCTCCATAATATGCAAATAAAATGTGCCTATTCAAAACAAAATCAAGGGGAGGGGGGTTAAGGGGGGGAAGAGAAAAGGTGGGGAGAGGGGAGATCTGGAAAAGTAAAACACCTGATGCCACAAAATAATTGGGAAAAATAGAGATTATGAAATTGGAAGATTGGGGGAAGGGGGCGGGAGGAGGATGAGGGAGAGATTGATTATTATTTTACTATTACCCAGTTGTACCAACTAGGCTCAGGCCTGAAGGTCAAGCAGATCATTATAGTTGACTGTATAGCGTGAAAAACACCGCGTTTCATGGGAAAAAAGAATAGCCACTCTATTTTCTACACACACACACACACACACACACACGCATACACCAAAGTGAGAGAGAGATGGATAGGAGGCCTGGTAGAGCAGAGGGAAGAATGCGCTTTTTGCAGCAGAGAAGTGCATAACGAAGCCGAACTGAAATTACTGTTAGTGAATTGATCAGGGATAAAACAGGAGGGCAAATTCTAATCCTTAACCGAAGGAAAAATAGCTTCCTCACGTGACTAGGCATTCATCCTAACACCGCATCATTCCATTAGAAATCGGCAGAGAAATATTGCCGAGTGTTACTTATCCCTTTAGGTATGAATTCCTAAATAAAATGAAAGAAACAGCCAAGAAACTGACTAGGACCGCTAAATAAATATACGAAAAGAAGCTCTTCAACATTCGCCTATGCATGCCGAGCGCCTTCAATTACTGGGGAGACAATTAACCGACACGCTGCCTCCTCTAGGCATGGGGATATAATTCAGATATGCGATTTCGTGTTTACTCTGGACAAAGGCGGATAGTAGTACTTTTTATTAGTGTTCCGTGACGCGGACTCTGTTAATTACCCATTTAGGCGGAGTAGAGAGGAGGGGAAATAGGATAATAGACAGGGAAAGAGAGCAGGAGGGGAACTAGGAAATATAGAAAGAAAGGTAGATTCACTCCCCTTGTTTTCGTCCAACTAGCACACAGGTTTCCTAAGCCCACGCACGCACGTACATCGTATGTATGTATGGTAGCATAACTGCAAACACCATATTGATAGGTATAGAGTGGCTGATACTTCCCTCCATCATAAAATACTAATTCAGCAGAGAGCTACCACCAACAGTGACACTGTGCCTCTTCCTTCTTCAACGTTGATATGTCTTCAAAGTTACGAGAAAGTGCTCGTAAGCGTCAATGTTACTTAATACTTCGAATTCGAGTGCTGTGGATGAAGAAAAAACTAAAGAAAAACCAAATCTTGGCAACCCATTCACTCCAAATAACAATCAGATAACTTAAGCAGGTGATTTTGCTAAATGATATGCACCCAAAGAAGGCTGGATAGCACAAAAAACGCGTTAATTTCATTCATCCCTGTCAAAGTGAGTTCCGAGTAAAAACAATTTGAACTTTATGGCGGTAATATGTACATCATGATCCCCTCGCTTCTGGCAAACCCTCAACGCCAAATGAAGTCTTCTACAAACTAGAAAATGGTTTTCGACGCCATAGAAAAAATTATTTGCAAATCGTAATGAGACATCACCACAACAGTGATTATACTGCAGTTGAAACATACTATTTATCAAATCAAAAGCAGGAGGATGAAAGACAAAAGAGGGAAGAAAAACTTGACAGAATTGGAGAAACTCATTTTGTGGCGTATGAAATGAACAATAATAAGACATCATGACAACTATCGGTGGGGCATTCGGGGATTCTTACCTACATCTTCTCCTTCTGTGCAATTAACACCAAAGTATTACCTCAATCGCTCGCAAATCCCCCTCCAGCCGCTCGTTTAACTGGCTGTTTGGCGACTGCTCCTTTGGCTACAAAAATAAATGGAGGTACTAAGGCACCCTACTGATTTTATTTAAGTAACACTCCCTACCTGGACAGGGAAAGTTTGACGTTCGTTTTTGCTTGCTTCCAATTTGGTACTCGAGTCCTGTTAAACCGAACAAGAAAAAGCGTTATTATTCGACTCAACAGTTTTACCTTGAGTTGCTCTTTAACAACTGTGAGTTCCTTCTCCTTGGCCGACAAGTCGTAACACCTGGTCTGCAACTGCGACTGTAGCTGCACTGACAGATCCTTCAATTGACCAATTTCGCTCAGAGCGGAGTCGCGTTCGGTGGTAAGCTAAAACCAAGCGTCTAGATGAAATAACAATTTACCTAAAAAGAAATTGCACATTAAGATTGCATGTGAACAGCATAAACTGACCTGCAGAATTAAGGCGTCATTTTCAGTTCTTCTGTTGACTTGTTCCTCCAAAAATTCTTGCAGTTTGGGTTTCAGGTCGCTAATAAACTAAATGTGTCGTTATAAACTCAAAACTAACATTTCGGGAATGGATTGTGGTGCCAATTTCCCCTCTAGGAGGGATGAAATAATATACTCCTAGAAAGGAGTAAAAGGTACGCTGGGAAAAAAAGATACGCCCTACCAAAAGAGATAGCCTTGAGCGCACTACGTCAACAGGTTGATCTAGGGCAAGATCTTTGTAATCCTGTGCAAGTTTTTCAACTATAAAAACGAGTTGGTGACATGTGAGGAGAAGTACCCTCATTGTCCTGTAGGGCGGGAACGTGATTCTTCTCAAAATGAGAAACGAGGGCTGCCTCGGAGCTCAAATTTAACAAGCACTCTGGACATAGGTAGCCCTCAGTTATCTCACTCATATCAAGCCCTAAAAAATGCACGTAGGAAAACATTTCCAGAGCTCTAGTCAAAATCCGACCAGCTATTGAAAGAGGCATGCGCAAAGGGTCTGAACGAATCAGCCAACGATAAAACATTGTTAAATTTTGTGTTAGAACTACGCGAACCATGAACTTCATGAGAAGGCTGCAAAGTATAGAGAAATAATTAATGACCTTGGAAAAATATAGGATTTTCCGCTGGACACAAATTTCCCATCTATTTGTACATATGGTAAGCCAATACATCTGGATACCTAATAATCACCCAACCAATTAAAAATTTCACCATTTGACAATAAACGCATTAAAAACGACACAAAATACAAGTAAAATCAATCAGGAAGAAAGGTAGTCATTTTCAAATCACCTAAAAATGGTGATCCACAGAAATAAGTTTATTTGACAGCAAATTAACACGAAATAAATACAAAACTGGGTGCGCACACAGATCGAATAAAGGGATACAAATTAGTGAAGGCTCATATCGGGATCAACGCAACCAACTTTGAAACAAATTTGGCTACCTAGGGGATTTAGATTGCGCGGAAAGACCAAGGAGGTACACGAGATTTCGTTGAAGAACCATTTGATATGAAGCAGCATCCACAAAGTTACCGGCAGCTAGTTTATTGTTGATTACGTCCAACAGGAGGTCATTTTCATCCATAATTCTCCCAATGGTGAATTTATTTGGAGGCTCACCAGTTCCGATTATCCAAGACATCCTGAAAAAACAAGGCCATAGGAGAATACTGTGCTCATTTGATATTCATAGAAAACGCGAAATAGAATGAGTTCAAAACTAGTGAACTATACAATAAACAGACCTACATTATAAATCCTGATGGAGTGATAAGGGTAAATAAAAATGACAGTTTATTAAAAACCAAGTTATGTTGATTAAGACACGAGGCAGACCAAAGGGTTAATAAGCTTCCACAAAACAACGCTCCCAATAACACTAGTAATTAGACAATTATCAAATTGGGACTAGAATTCACGAAAACAAACTTGTTGAAAAAACATCACAAAAAGGAACCGTCGAACAATGCTCCAAAATCACACCGCTAAGAGTCGCTTCGAAAATACCGCTAATTGGACAACTTCATTACTTCAAGATAGAAGACATGCCCACAGAGACTATCAGGCTTTATTTACCGCAAAACATTATAAGAACACAAAAATGTTGATTTCGAATAGGCAAAGAAATATGTCGACTCTGATGCCGAAATGACGAACGTAAATTGGATATAAGATGGGATTATATCTCCAGTCAGACGTCTCGATCACGTCCCAAACAACACCGAAATCGATATACATATTTTTACGTGACACAATTGATAATGCCTACAATTTAGACTTGCCAAAAATGCAATATTTGTCTTGATTTTTACTGTCTTACACAAAACCAACGCTTTAAGCTTCTACATGTAGCATTTTGCTGAGTTTGTAACCTCGGCACATAGTTGTTGGAATTGCATTAAGAAAATTGCTCTTTTGATTCTGCTTTCATTAAGTGGATTAAAAATAAACGGGTCATGAAAATTAGAAGACCTGTTTGGTCAGACACACAAACGAAATTTTATGCTCACAACCTCACTCTTTCAATATTATTTGTCCAATTTAATGTTTTACCTTCAATTTCCTCTCATTTGATTGGCAGTATTACCCATGTCATTTACTGGCTTTCGGTTTTTGGTGTTCTGTTACTGTGCTGCCAAATGGTAGGTGTTGTTATTTGCGTTTATGCATGACTAGATATCTATTCTTGGTCTTCTCTCCTACACTACGATCCTGCTTTATGGCGCTGCATTTCTGTTCTGCATTTCAATCGGTCTTTTCTACTTGGCTGAATTGGTGGAGGAATACACTGTTACAACCGGAAAAATAATCCGATTTACTTTATGCACCGTCATAGTCCTCCAACTCTCATTTCCCCTCCTTGATGGATTATCCATTATTTTGGTTGCCACCGGCATTATCGTACACCTTTCCTACTTTCAACTCCTTGCCACGTATCCAGCATTCAACTTCACTTCATTTAATTTCCTTCTAAACTGCACTTTTTTTATAGTCCACCACATTGTTGCCTTTACCTCCGAGTCATTGTACACCAAAGATGCCCTTTTCATCCTTACTTATTTCACGTTTTTTGTTTGGTTGGTACCCTTTATGTTCCTTCTCTCCTTATCAGCCAATGATGACACTCTGCCTCAGACTGTGGACTACGTAAGGTACCAAGAGACGAGACCGCTACTGAGTGGAAATGATGACTTGGTATCAAGCTTTCTTAGGAGCAAACGCCGTAGCCTTTACTCCCTGCTTTCGCATCTACGCGATCAGTTGCCGGATTTTCGGTCCAAAAAACTCTATTAGCGGAATGTTATTTTATTTTTGTCAGCCCCAAAACCTTTGGGAATTTGATCTGGTGGGTTTCAATCATTACTGCATAATCTTTCCCTTAGTTTATCTATTTTACCCCTTGATGCTACGAGATTACTTTAATTCGTGGGTTAGTCGATCGTAGTTACGAGTGCTCTTCACCCATTTGTCGGCTCTGACAGGGAATTCAAGCGGTTTTTTTCAAAGCTGTTTAATTGTGCTGACGACTTTACCCGCGTCAAATCTGCTTTCCAGTTACTAGCTTAGTATTGGAATAGGATAGGTAACTATGGGACGGTGAAGTGGACCGTTTTCGTGTCATCTAAGCAATGGTACTTTGGTTAGCTTCAGACGATCCATCACTTGCCCACTCTATGTGCTTGGAACACTTGACACGGCTAAAGGGTGTACCAGAAAAGCTTATTTTTGGGGATAAGTTGGGGCAGGTAAATATGTCAAAATGATGGGTAACTCAAGATCATGTTTTATGCATCGCGAACTGCACTCGTGGATAGGAAGGAGGTAATGTCCCAACCTGGTACTGACAGACAAATTTTGTTTTCTAAGCTAATGGCTGCCATTGGATCAAAAACCTACCCAATTTTTTCGCTGCTCTGCGTCTCGATAGATGTGGCCGTTATTAGAAGCTCTCATCTATTTTACAATCAGTTTTATCATCGATGTCATTAAGCAGTTGCGCATTTCCGGTGATTAAGGTTTTAACAAAAGATGCCAAGTAAGCTGTTAATGAAATCGAAGTTTTGTTGAACAAGCTCTTTCAATTCCGCTGCCACAAGTATCTCATCAATGCGGGAATTTGAGCTTCCTCATGATTAGTCCCTTTTAATTCTTCTATTGAATAGTGCTGAAAGCGTGTTCCCACCTGATGCACGAACCTGCCTCTGCCGAAAGCCAATATAAAAAAAGCAGAAGGGATATCTTTATGTCAAATCTGTTAATAGTTTGAAATACTTTTAAGCGTTCCCAGATAAAATCACACACATTATTTACAGAAAGGTGAGGAGTTGTTGATGTCAGTAGCACTTGTAATCGGCCATGATTCTTGCCTCCTCTTCAGCCATGAATTTTCGAATTATAGGCTCCTCATTTTTGTATAAGTCCTCGCGGATTCCGAGTTGTTCAAATCTGCGTTCCATTCGTCGGTTAATTTCGTCCAGATTCAGTGAATCTACAGAAGGAGAACGTTCAATGATCTCTTCCCCGTGTGGCAGAAAGGTTGAACTGGAGCTCAGAAATACTGGTTCTTCAAAGTCCTGTTTACTCTTTCTCACCTCGATCGAATAAGCTGGAGCTGCTATAACCCTGTGGACTCTTATGGGTCTGGTGAAACTTGGGCTAGCAGACCAATCAGTCTTAGAGGAACCTGAATTTATCAATCTCGGATCATACACTTGGATAACATCTTCATTCTCTGATCGGCTTTGCTGAATGCGCCTTTCTTCCGCGGCCAACTCGACCTTCAATTGAGTTACTTGTGCAAGCAGATCAGCTAATTTTGGGGAGTCTTTTATTTTCTTACTTTGATTGGAGGTCCTGACAACTTTTTTCGCCTTTGTTTTACTTTGTTGATATCTGCGCTCCAGTGTGACTTGTACGCAGACGTTATGCTTGTTACTTGCCTCCTTTGGGGATCTAGGGGCTGTTATTGTTTCGGCAACCTCATCAGATTGTTCTTTATCATGATCTTTTGGTGTATTAGAAGCAGATGCATTCATACTTTCGTATTCTTTCTCCTTATTGTCAATTTCTTTTTCCTCTTGAATTCGCTTTGCTTCACGTTGCCTTTTTTCCTCTATCTGACTCATTAGTTCCGCCCGATATATTGCGTTAGCCTGTTTCTGAGTTTCTGTTAATGGGTCGCCAAATATTCCATTGCCACCTCTAGCGTATCGGGAATGTTTTGTATCCGATAATGTAGGTTTCTGGTCCACCGATTCTTCATCCTTGTCTCGAATCCGTTGACCCAAGGTGTTGAATTCATGCATTTCTGCAAAATTCAATCGATCTTCTTCTCTTTCCTTCCGGCGCTCCATTTTCTTTAGCCTTTGTTTGTCTTCAATTTGTTTCTTTAGTTCATTTGCATATTCTTCCTGCTTCATTTGTTTTGAGCATTCTTGTGATCCAGATTTACCGGATAAAATTAAGAAATGTGGTTTACTCCCAATATCATCGTTGAAACATTCAGGGGAACTCGATGATTGGGCATCAGTACCGGCTGTTTCATGGCTTTCAGTGATATTTAATGTCATTATAATGTTCTCCAATTCGTTCAGGTGCTTGACAGCTTCGTCAACTATGTTAGAGTTCTTAATTTCCTCTGCTTTAATCTTTTGGTTGCCTTCATCTTTCATAAGGCAACTCGTATCCATGTTGCTGTTACTTCCTGTTATTGAATGCGCCTGATGTTGTTTTAATTTGTTGACATCTTTTTGGAGACTATCCAACCTTTCCAGAAGTATTTTGATGTTGTCTCCAGGATATTCACTTGTGGCTGGTAATGTTTTATTGGTGGTCACTTCGTTTGTCTGTTCTGACTTATTGCGTTTCTTTGAAGCAAACCTATTGCGGAACTTTTCTTCATCTTCAAGCTTGAATTTTTGGTATTCCAGATTCAATTCTTGCCGCTTTCTAAGTTTTTCAATATTCTCGTCTCGAAACTTGAAGAACTGATATTCTTCATTAGAATTGTGGTTATTTTGCGTGTTTGATATGCCACTCATTGAATAAATCCAGTAATGTACTGTGTTTAACTGTAAAGCAGCACTGGCCCCCGTCCAGGAGTCTGTCAAGAATGTGGTAGTCAGTTCGTGGGGGCGCTAGCGTTCCATCCACACGAGTAAGTACGTATGATTCGTTAAAACAAGTGCGTCGTAGTTAAGCTACTATGATGATTTAGCGGTAAAACAAAATTAAGTTGATTTCTGTAGGCTTTGGACACTACTGCGAAATAAGAATGCATGATTCCGTGGCAATTAGTTCCACTGGGAACTACCGGTTGAAAATATTTCCCCCCAGAAAACATTGTTAACAAATGACTGATGGTCTCATATGCTTACTATTTGGAAGATGCCAACTATTTTAAAATTTTTGTAGTGTTCACAAGGTGTTTATTGAGTGAATAGATGGCTCTACTTGTATCTGAGTTGTATTTGCATTTTGATATTTTATCCTCTTTCGTTGGTTCATGATTTGTTCAATCTTCGTAAGGGTATCTATTTAACCTCTCTATCAGGCTTTCTATATAACCAAGATTGCAGAAACGCTAAGACGAATTCGTTGTATTTTTGATTACATTATCTTTAAGGAAGATTTCATTCCATATCACCGATTTAACACAACGAATCAGATAATTCCGTTAACCATACTTATTCGTTTTTCTTCATTCAAGAGTACGGTCTGGACCCTCAATATCTACAAAACACACTAAATGGCAATCTTTCAGAAGAAATGGATCTTGGTAAAATCGCACAGGTTTGTATCCAGCAATTACTGAGAATATATCTGATTTATACCTTTGTTTTTTGTTCAACTTCTTTAAGCTATTGCATCGATGCGTTTTACGGCAGAGTAAGGAGCCTTATAGGCATTTCCTGTGGTACTACTCCCTTTTACCGATAGCTAGTGCGGAAAAATCAGCATTTTTGCCTCTGGTCTTCCCAGTGTTGTCCGTTATGGCATGGATGAAGAATGAATGGTTCTATGGAAACAAGGTAAACAATGGAATTGGGTGTTTGAAGAAGCCGCGGAGACTGAAGTTATGGCAGAACCAAACATCTACCAATCCAGTACATTCGCTCCCAATTTGTTGCAAAGAAGGACAAGAAAACTTGTGTAACAAGAAATTTAACAGAAAAAAACATGAACAAAACTTAGACTACGATTTCTACTTCTAAATAGTAGACTTGACACTAATCAGTAGTACTATCAGAGTCAAAACCAGCCTGGAAGGCAGGTTTGCTCTCTGTCACCTCTGTGTGTCCTATTGAGAATAAGTTTGACAATGATCTTAGTCACCTGGATAACATTGTAGATACGGTTCTTTCATGCGAAATTTTTTTGATTTCTGAAAAGATCTTAACTCTTTGAGTACTTTGAAGAAATCTGTTTCTTTCACCCCCTCCAAAGGCAACTGCGGGTTAAGCGTGGAACTCTTGGCCACGAAATTGCTGAGGATGTGTCAATTCTTGTAAGAATTGTGAATTAACGAAGTCGGAAGTTTTTTGGACTGAGGAAGTCAGGAGAGAATAGGTCTGCTCATTGCCTCAACTCTGGTTTCACTGACTATTCTTCATTAAACAAAAGTGGAATTGACTACGTAATGGTGAAAATCGAGTTCTATGTGCTGCTTAAATCAAGGGTGAATCACCGGAACCGTTGATTTTGTCGCCTCTGTCCGCAATCAGCTGTGTAAGATATCAATTCCTTGGAGAGGACGACCTCTTAAAGTGTTTGTCTGGAAGCCATTCTCGAAGGAAAAATGAGAGAAGGTGCAACTGAAACATTTTTTTATGCAGCCGATTTCAATGAAAGTCATTTCTCAAGGTCAGAATTACGAAGGTGACTTTGGTAATGGTCTGAGTACTGCCACAGATAACCTGAGCAATACTGAGGATTACCTAAACCCAGCAGTATTGGCTGCTTTAGCTAGCGTTTCGCATAAATCTCTTCAATTCTCTTCGAAGAGCACTCGCCCTGTCGTGCTTGCCGCCTATGAAATCGCTATGAGAGCCATGTACTTCATCAATGGACTTCGAGGTAGATTGCTTTATTGTCCCTAACTGAATTTCATTCCCTAGACTACGATTGTTTACCAGACGTAGAGGATAAAGAGGGCGGCACACAAGCTCTCCAAACCTACGATTCGGATTTGTTACTGCTGGTGACCGGATACACGTCCATAAAGTAATCTATCCGAGTTGTCAGAGCTGTTGCTCTCTTCACTCCCTGGAAAGCTCGCCATGCTGGTGGGATTTGCAGTCTTTCCTAAAGATGAAAGAAGCCTTAATACTGGAACAGAAAATGTATTGCCAACGTACGGAAGGCCTGAGAGGCTACTGACATGATCTGAAAGTCATGCTATCCAGTGGAGGGGCGCTGGTGGAATTCTAATTGTAACTTCACTAAAACCCTCTCGTCAACTCTACTGGATCTGGGTTTTTCCTGCTTGGGAACTGTATTGGGGGAAAGGGGGAATGCGCAGACCGTAACAAACTTTTCCAGATGGTCATTGCTAGTGTTGATTCCGTTGTTAACAGCTTTCCTGTAGAATACAAGAATGAGGTAGTTTGCGAAGGGCTTGTCACAGATCCTCTTATCCGCAGCACGTCTTCTTTTCTGTCACGTTAAGATATAGAATTAAGTAAGAAAAATCAAGAAAGTTGTCTCCTAGGGGTGGGCTTACTATTTGCTGCCATCGGGCCTTTCCTGAAGACAGAAGTGTATTGCCGATATGCAGAAGGGATGGTCTGGAGCCCGGGCCTCAAAGTGGGACCTTGAGTGCCCACATTATCATGGATACTTTAGCGGTACATGGCGTGAATCCTTTTGTTATCTTGTAAGTTTACGAAACTTCCGATTAATTGGTCCTAAAGATCCCAAGAGTGCCCTCGTTGTACACACTTTGTAGCCTCAAAGGCGTATACAGAACCAGCACTTTATCACTCCTTGTCCCAGGAATTGTAAATGCCCAAAGTTTCCTCTTTTTCTCACCCACGAAAGTGGTTCTTTTAAATTTTTCGCCATCGTTCCACTGTTTAGGAGGCCAAACACGTCCTTATCACGACTCCGCGAAGTGTCGTGCATCCCTTCATGCTTCGGCGCATTGAAGCTCATGTCGGTGTCAAAGTGTAACCAAAGCAAGAGATTGTTCCTCGTCATATCAGTAAGCGTGTAATCGCTGGCCATGCCCATCTTGAATATTCTGGGACTGAATTGTCTTGGATTCGTGGCTTTGATTCGTGGTTTTGAGAGTGGGGGCTAAATCCAAGGCAGAACTGTCAGTGGACACAGTGAGAAGAGACCAGCTCGTTTCCATGCCTTAAAGGATATCATACAAGCATCATTAAGTTACAATCAACCATTGAAGTTAGCTAACCTGAGAACTGGACAGAGTTTTTTGGCCACTTAATGGTTCTCGGTTAGCTCATCTTTTATTTTTTACAGTTTGTCTAATGCTTTGTTGGATGAATTTTTAATAAATTTTCCAAGTTTTGGCAACTTTTTGATTTAGCTTTTGGACGATCCAAGTCAGCAATTTAGCGAAACGTCTAGATTGTCTGTGGGTTGCAGCATTGGTCGGGACCGTCCCGCCCTCAGAATAAGAGGTCCACCTCACTTGTTTGAAGAGGGGTCAAAGAGGCAAGAATGATTACAAGGAAGCAACACCTTTCTCACCCCAAACAAATAGTTGACATAAAGGCTGAACATAGGTATGAATTCTTTGATTGCAGTTACCAGCTCAAAAGTTAGACTTCCCTGACGAACTATGAACCTGCTTTGTTCAATGCCTGCAGCGAATCTCAAATTAGCGATTCTAATGAGGAATCTAGTCGGCCAATTGTCCAAGAACTTTTATGAATGGGTGGAAAACTGCTTCTCCACGAGGTGGATTCTCCTTTCACCATTTGTTCTTTTTGTCAGATGCCGTTACACATTCGTAAAATTCTGTTTTTTTTATTAACCTCTCCCAAATTCTCGGATCACGATGGTCCCGGGCATCATTGAGGAATTACTGGAATGTGGTGCGTTTTGAGACGCGGCAGGAGGTGGTGCATGCATTTAATACTTTCAGTGTTGCCAAACTGCCCATTTATCTGCTTCCAACCCAGACTGCAGGTCTGCGCCTTGATGTTCAAGCGTCTGCTGCCACTGTCATCATTCATAATTCTAACTGGAATCCACAACTCAATCTCAAGCCAATGAATCCTTGAATCTGGGCAGAAATTCATTGCGCAAAACCCTAGATCATGGAAGCTGCTGAAAGTTTGTACAGTTTTGATAGCCCTTCCTCCATAACCCCAGGTATCCACAAGAGGTGCATTCCTTCGGTAAATTTTTTGTTGGGAATGCCTGCAACTCTGAAAAATGCTCCTGGTCAAGTTTTTAGAAGTTCCAACTGTCGGTTAGTCGCCAAACATTCTGGCGAGTCACGGTTCTGCTCAGGCCCCCCTGCCTGGGTCACATTACGCATAGATGTGCTATACCTAAAGGTCAAGATCAATCAGCGTAATTGAAACAACGGACTCACTCAGTCTCCACCGGTCGGCCATCAGACTTGTGCAAGTCATACCTCTGTGTTTACTCATATGTGTCGGTCAATGAAGACGTCTGTTCTAAGAAGCGTTCCCTACTGCGGGTTTGATACTACAGGACCATAGAAACCACAGTCCGTAACAAGTTCTGGGCGAGATTAAAACAACTGCCGAAGCAGTTTCTGACAAGCCCGGACAGACGAAAGGAGCGCGGACACTGTGATCTTAACCAGTGAAATTTGGAGATGCGCCGAGAAACTCGGACCTACTTAATGGTGATAGTGTGTACGCACGACCCTGGAGGCTGGGTTTGCTGACTTTCCGTGACGACCACCATTCTTACGTATTTATGCCATTTTAAATTATCCTGACCGTTCCACAATTGCTGGTTTGTATAAAGCTAGCCTGGACCTCATACTTTCAACAGGGGGACTCATTAAGGTTGGGAATCAAGGAATACCAAAAACTGTCCGGAAGTTGAACTTCCGAATGGAAGATAAATAGACGGACCATCCGCCGTCTACTGCGAACTGTTGCGATTTCGATGTTACTATCCTACCTGAAGAGACATGCCTACCTTGCACACCGGTGACCTTCCTGGATCTGACTCTACTTAGCTCTGGAAGCCTCATTCCAATACCCCCATAATTTAACACCACCTTAGAAGTGTGCTTTACCAAAACACCATTGTGTGAGGGCCCGCAAACAGTGACATCGAACAGCGGACGTTACACACCTCCCGCGCCATCGCTTGACAGCAAAATGTCAGTCACGCACCCGTTTCTGCTGGCTTCAATCGGGAGCTTTTTGTGATCCTACCATCTCGTTTATTGCATTAACTTTTGGAAAACAGACTAGAAGAAGAACCTGACGGAACAACGAGGAATTTAGGGGTATCAGAATCGATCCCCAAGGCGACTCATGAACCGTTGTAAAACCCGAGGCTTCTGCTAGTGACCCACTTGTCTTGCCTCCTAAAAACAAGTGTCCAACCATAAAATCGGATGAGGCACAATGCGCTTTTGTAGGGACCACAGGAACGGCTTGGTTGGGTCTCCGAGGCCCAGGGAGTTCCCTCAAAACACCCTTCAAGCTATCTTTCAACTGGACGAAACAGGAAGAATGAACGGCCAATGACATGAAATGGTGCAAGCATGAGTTTTGAATAAAAATTATTTTAATTCTGTGTACTTTTGGTTAGCGTTGGTGTTGATTTCTGACAGCACTTTACTCTAAGGCCTTTCTTCCACAAGTGGTGCAGTGGAAATGCACCGAATTGAGATTTCCATCAGAATGAAAAGTCTAAGCATATAATCTGCAAAACTCAAAATGGAAATTTCTTGTAATGCATCCATATATTTCGCATTTTTAATTTGTACATAAATAGAAGCATTTAAAGGTACCCTTCAGGCGCCTCGAATTGGTCATTCGCCGCCAATGGACAAAAGTCAACGACGTCGAAGAAGGCAGAAGGGTGGCAAGGAAGGGGTAAAAATCAGGTCATAGACGGACAAATTCCTGAAAGCCGTTCAGCTAAAAGTAAGGAAGTAAATGCCTATTGAATATGACACCGAAAAAATGTAAGTGATTAGATCACAATAGATGGAGATGTCAAAGTCATGTCAAACTATGGCCACCAACAAGGCGAGACCGAACTTGATTACATGAAGAATAGATGCTCCCACACGATCCACGATAGACTGATGAGTGATAAAGTAGCAAGGAGGCGAAAATGTCTAACAGTCCCACCAAACTGGTAGATTTGCCTACACAGCGACTTGGCGTAGAGCATTGACTAGTCTCAAGCAATACTAAGCTAACAATCTTTTACAAACCAATCCACAAAGAGTGGATGATCCGTCGAAACTCCTCAGGTACCTTACTGATGTCGGGATTAAATGTCTCATTATCCTCACTTTTATCTTGGAGTTGACGTAAAAACACACTAACACGATGGTCAAAGCAGAAGAGTGAGCACGAGGGAGAGCACCTAAGCTTCCTCTTAAGCGCCAAACAAGCCTTCTCTTCAGACGTCTATACAGATGCCCATAGCTAGTAGGGAACACTTTTGCGACCAAAACCGTAGTGTTACCTTGCTGCATCATGATTGGGAACCATCGACGCCAAAATAAGCACTGTCTCGATCTTGGATGAGCCCCGGTTGTCATTTGTTCTGTGTCGAGGATGAGGAAGGCCTCAGTGCGTTCATCAAACTCCTGCCAATGCCGCATTGGCAGATGATGTGGAAGGCAGGTAGAGGCATCTACGCTGTGCGAACTGACCCATGGAGAGGCCTCCCTACTGGCGGTTGGTGGAGACTCGGAAGAGGGAATATTTTTCCCGTTAGCAAGGACGTTGGGATCTCTAAAGCAAAGGAGAAACCCAAGTTCCCCACTGTTACGGCTAAAACTGTTTCTTGAAATATTTTATTCATTAACTGCCATCATTCAATCTTGGATTTTTTTTCTCCAACAAGGTTCTGGATAGATTCAAACACCACCTTTCCGGTTGAGGTCAAACTCATGTCACCTATTTAACAAATTTTCACTTTTCTAGTACATCGAAGAGCCACAGTAATCTGCCAACAAAAGTGATCAGCTCCTACCCAGTCCGTGCAAAGTTTGCCCAGTAGGTCATCATACGGTCACTGAGTTCGCGTTCTGCGTCGCCAAAGCGGTAGAATTTCTCCGCGAACACCGGGGAGAAGGGAATACCGAAGACGTACTCAATCTCATAGCCATGCATGGTGTGGGTCCATTTCGGCCAAGGCAAATTCTCCGTACGATGCACAAATTCGTAGAAATATGTACGCGGTGTGACACTTCGCAATGATAGTCGGTTTCGTGGCCCCCGATTGCGGTTCACCAGTGCCTGGGCGAAATCAATTGTGGGACACTTGAAACCTCGGTCACTGCTTATCTCCTCCAGCATTCGGGTCCAAGTTTGAGCATTATCCTAGTAAAATAGAAGAAGGTATCAGACGCCTTAGTCACCCTCTTAATACGTGTACCCCTCAACACTAACTCACCGGCTCAGAATAGTTTTTGTACTCGAAGTCAGTGTAAATAGCCAATGGTTCCATTAGATCGGGTCTCCTGTCATGTTCAATATCGAGGACTTTGTGTAGCGCTTTGAAGTACTCTTCATGTGTGGCCACAGGCAGAGTTTCAATATTCTCCGCGAATGAAGTATTGGAGACTAAAGTGTAGAGCAGGAAGTAGCTGCCTTCATTGGCATTCATGCCTATCATCACCGCACCCGAGGGTTTCAGGTAGCCCAATTCGGCAAAGCTTTGGCTGTTCCGGTAGGGCAAGAAATGTCCATCCAACACCGGTGGAAAGGGAATAGAGAAAAAGACGTTGGGATCAATTAGATGATCTTGGGCTTCGATAAAGGATTCTGGAGACTTCAGTTGGAGACAGGCGTGGAGGTCACGTCCACTGCGACCGCCACAGCCAACCATTTCGACCAATCTGCAAAAGTAGTGCCGATTGTTGAATTATCTACATGAAATTATGAAGAACTAGTACACCCCATCATAAAATGTTGGATGAACCTGATGGACCTAATTTGAGCCTGTTTGCTTTAAGAAGTGAGATTAACTTGGTTGTAAAGTTGTTGAAACTTGTCGTAATACTTATTGTCTAGCACTTGGCAATGAATCACTCAACGATGGATACATCACATTTGCAAGGAGGACATAACCCTGGATCCGTCTGAATTGGCGTGGTGCATCAGTGGCGTTGTGTCTTCGCACCTCACCCAAAACGACCCACCACCAGTATACCAGCCTTCTGTCATCAAATTCCGTCCAACATTTTAGCGTCTTTAAGGAGGGTCCGGGAGCTTCAATACGGTTTCTTTCAAAAATTATACCTTTTAGATTGAATGAGTTGTTTTTTGGGGGCCTCGACGCCCCAGTAGCTGAAAACGGAGCCAGATTGGAGGATGGCGTTGGTGAAAAAGCCATGGGACCAAGGTGAGATGAGATGAGCGCTAACACTCACGGCTCCTGCCGATTCACCAAAGAGGGTAATCCTCGAGGAGTCTCCATTGAATTTTTCAATGTGGTCCTTCACCCACTTGATCGCCAGCCTTTGATCCCACAGACCCATGTTTCCCGGAACCTGTGGGATGGAATGATGTCTTCAACCTCTGGTAATTTATGTCACTTGGGTAACAAGACCTCCAGCTCTTCTGCATGCACTAGGACCGGCAAAATCTTGCCAACTCCAGCAGACAAACCAAATTTTGAGTTTGGCACAGCAAAATGATCTTTATTCCTGCCCCAATGCCTCAACCGACTATCTGGAGATGTTCAGAGTGGAGGAATGACGACGCTCAACCCTCACTACGTCTTAAACTCTAGCTCCACCGATATGAATCCACAGTAAAGAGTATTATCTTCAAACTTACCCAAGAATTATTAAGATATAGAAATCCAAATGGACCAAGACGATAGTTCAGCGTAACCACTATGACATCTTGACGTGTTGACAGGAATCGACCATCGTAGACATCTAATACCGAAGAACCGCTATAGAAAGAGCCACCAAATATCCAAACCTTCAAAACAAAATAATACATTAGTTGGAAAGGTGGACAGCGTGCTGTTTTGGAGTTGTCTAAATTCTCACCATCACGGGGAGTTTCTGATCCTTCGCACACTTTTGCGCCGGTGGGAGAATGGGAACCCAGATATTCAGGAATAGACAATCTTCAGATAATGGGGTATTCGGTTGCCACATCCTGGCTCCGGCCGAATTCTAGAAATAGAAAGGGTACTATCGATGAACAAAAACAGGAGGTCCTTCTTTTTTCCCTCCCTCCCGCCTCCAAGAAACACAGAAGTGGTGACCTTAAATAGTCAACGGAATCGTACTAATTTTGTCACCGAGTTAACCTCGAGTCGCAAAGCAGACAGGCTCAGGTCACATCTATTAGACACAAGTGACACCTTTTTTCTGTATGAGGGCAGGCTAGAAATCAAGTGTAGCGGAACGACATGCCTAGCTCCTTGGAGAGATGCACATAAACAGTCATTCGAACTTTTTATGGTCACCTGATTGACCGTTTTGGTGAATTGTTGTGTAAATTGAAACAGGAAGCATCAATCACACTTGTTGAGACTTTGCACTGGAATAAATTAATGTCAGAGGAAGGACGAAAGTTATTCAAACCCTCTGTTTCATGTACCAGTCCGATAGAACAGCAGCTACGGAACTTTTCAAGAAAGTCTTTTCTTCTTACCTGAAACAGTGTATCAATGTACTGATAACAAGCATCCGGTTTGGCGTTTGCATTGAAGATTTGATCTGGTTTTGGTATTGGTGGTACCGGTTTCTTGAAACGAAGAGACCCAGTTGGTGGTTGGGCGTATCGAATGCCTAGAAATTTAACCACAACCATGGTTTTGTATAAATGCAGAGGTTATCAACTTGGAAGCTTATTCCCGTACCTTTCCCATAAAAACCCATCCCTCGTGGATGGCTAAATCCGCAGAGAAAGAAGGGCTGAGATGGTACTAACCCTTGGTAAGTCATCAATTCAAGATTTCGAACAGTAAACATATCATATCTCTACAGATTTGGGGAAAAGGCGATTGGCGTACAAGATATGTCCAGCCTTCGGTGCTATCTGCGGATCGCCGTTAAGAGGACGCGATACTAGGAGAGTCCAATCGGATCTGCAGTATATACAGCCACTAAGAGGTTGATGTTATGCATTTTCATCGTGTCGTCTTAGTTTCAGGAAGACAACTCCTCCAGAATATTGGAGGCGAAGCTCATGAGCGACGCCTACTCAAATGTGATTTCAGCCACCATATCTTAGATTGATGGCACGGATATCGTCAACGCTCCCGCCCTTCTATCCCTTCTGCCATACTGCTGTGCTCTACTTCATCTTAGAAAACAACTGCAGGTGATAAGCGTAGTGTCTGGCCCATAGAACAGAGGAGCTGGAAGGATTGCCTTGTGTAATCTATGAATAACGCTTGTGGAGAGAACTTCAAACTAACCGTAATATATGTCCACTTGAGTGGTTCGTTTTCCCGGCCAGATGACAGTCTCCCGTCTGCCACAATAAGTGCCAACATCCGTTCGTGTTTTGGGACTACCATGTGGACATTTAAAGGGTAGAGGCGCTATTGGAACGTGCGTTAAGGTGGGCAGAATCTCCAATGCAAGGATAAACATAACAACCTCCCAGTGACCCATATTTCTGAAACCCAAAAAAGGAGTTACACCCAAGTTTGATTATGGGCGTGAGATTCTTCCAAAACTTAAGACAATAAAAAGTCTTCACCTTTTAGTTTCTCCGCCTTTTTTGGTTACTTTTTGTATTTACCACAGCTATTCAAAAATCGCATTCCTGCCCCCGGTCTGCCTTCTTCGGAGTATGCCAGGGCCGGAGCCTAGGAGACTGAATTAAAAGACGAAAGAGGGGAAATGTGGAAAGGGGTAAACCGTGCGTTGCGCTGTCAACGCCTGGCCAATGGTAATGCCAAGATTGTGCACACCGGTGCAGACATTGGCTGACGCTTGTCATTGGTCCGCAGCGCTAGCGTAAACAGTGACATACTGGGTCACGTGAGAAAATTGGGGCATTGAGTGGCCTAAATTGGATACTTAATGCACATTTCCTTCCCTCCTTCAAATGCGGATTTCAAAATGGGGATACCGATTATATTACGACAGAAAGATTAGAAGGTGGGAAAAGGAAGTATTGCGGCTCTCCGATTGGTCATTCCCTTATTGCTGGCATGACCAGCAATTAGCTCCTCCTCGGGTATTCCAGGGGTGGATTTTCTCGGCCACAGAAAGGTGGGCTGCCTCAGAAGGGGTGACTAAGGCTTGGTAATTATGACATGTACTTTGTAAACGTATTGGAATATTCAGGAATTGAACTGAAGGAAGTTAATCAGGATGTTCTTGTTCAAGTAAACCGTCTCTGTGACATTTCGATTGACCATATTTGAGCTTCCGATAGTCTGCGTAGTATACACCACAGAACAGAAAAGACAAAATTCGTTTCCTCTTATTGTAGGCAATGCTTGTACACCCTTCTTCAGACATGGTGATTCTGTGTCCCAACAGGGGAATTAGCGAGGTTCACAACGTGGCTCGTACTGGAGTCTTGTTGAAGCATTATGTGTCGCACAGCATTGCATTTACTCAGTGTCCGCAAGATACCAAAACAGAAAAAGTTTTTATGTTTAGCATTTAGGAAGTAATTTTAACAAGGAGTAGTGATTAATCAATTAAGATCCTCGTAGCAAAAATGTCGAGTTGGATACTTAATCGTACAACCCATGAGCGAGGCAGTTTTCATCTGTAAAAGCCGCAAAAAATGAGGTCAACTAAGTTATTCTTTGCGACCAAATTCATTTATTTTGTGTGCATAATTTGACAGCATTGTGTCTTATATGAGGATGCTTTAATGCCTCATTATCGTTAATAATTAAAACCGGTTTGCTAACTTTTCATTTTTAATATAACCTCAAACTTATATAGACCACCAACAACCTTTAAAAATTTTATTTTTTTTTCGGCTTGAACTCAACTAACATTTAAAATAAAACAGGCAAAACACAACCTCACGCCGTTGCCTTTTTTATTTGTTCTTTAACTTAAGATTCATGGAGGTATCTTACTATACAAATTTTTTAACTGATTTGTTCACTCGCATAATATTGCTGCTATTTTATTTGTCGTGTTTAAATAAGCCAATCAAAATTTGCGACGGCGTTTAGACGGTGCGCCTTCTTGAAGTAATTTTCAATTTCGGATTTGGAGCATGAGATGCGTCGCTCCACACCTGGAGTCTTTAGCGGTGTTGAGCCTCACACGCCACGAGTGTGTGGTTCTAAATCAAATTCTTCGTTTCGCGCGAATTCTGATGATTCTAGACGTTGTATTCCTCCACCTGTGCCTTGCCGAAATCAGCCCCCTCCTCTTCCACCTAAGCACCACCTCCGTAAGAACACTGGAGTTGAGTTTAACAAGCACAGAGAACCTCTTGAACCCTTGGATTCTTATGGGAAGTATGTTTACGAGTCAATAAGTGATTCTAATGTGTCCTCGCGTTCAAATCGACATCTGCCGCTTCCGCGATCCTATGCAACTCGCAATTTCCCTCAGTCCAGCACCACTTCGCCTTTTGGATTTCGTTCAGTTTCTCCCCACACGATTGGATTTAATTGCGGTGGTAGGAATGTATCTGGTCATGCGCCTTACGATGCCAGAACCTTTAAATATCCGTTTTCTACACCCTTCGCTTTTGACCCCAATTCCGAGCTGTTAAAGGGACCATGCACGTGCAGTTTAGGAGCAGGAGGAGGCAAAAAACTGTCATTCAACTCTAGCAACCAAAGTCCTGTGTGGTCCAAAATGCCTTCGGTGGTGACACGCCCTTCCGACGCTGTACAATCGAAGGCTACGCGTTCAGGTGCGCGCGACCAGAACCATCAAGAGAAGAAATCTACCCATGTTGACAACCGTCCTTGGACCATTTCGCGGCTTTCCAGAACTATGAGTCGCTTCTTTCGGCGGGGAATGTCTCATCGTAAAAGCAAATCGAATCCCATGCGTTCCCGATCAGATTACTTCAATGATTTTCAGGATAAATTTAACGGAAACATTGCGCCTGTGCCTTCTCACTTAAGTGTATGTCCTTTTCCGTTTTTGTTTATCGCATGCTTTTGTATACATTTGTTTTATTGTGGGTAGTTGACGTTTGATAATTTCTTTGATTTGGTAGTTTGAATAAATTTCATTTTAAGGTCTGCAATTGTTAGCACTAGTAACCAAACGTTTTCTCAGGAATTTTTGTTAACAAGGATATTGGATGTGCTTCCAAGGGACTGCACTCTCTTCTTAAGACATCCGTAGAGCCAAGTTGTACACTTGTTTCTAGGCTGTGCGTTCGCCGGCGGTGACCCTGCCATCTTCCCCATCCGTTCCTTTACCCCCCACCGTGCCACCACTAACAGAAGAAACAGCTACTTCCACCTCATCCGCTCTCCACTGCCACGATGCTGTCCGCCATCAACATCCAGTGCAGACAGTAGCCATGGTATCCACGTCCACCGAGATGCCTACTTGTACCAGTCCTCCCAGCATCTCTTGTGTCCACCACGTCCACCACATCCATCATGTTCATCACGTCCACCACCACCTCCACCACTTGCCCCCACCTCCTCCTCCTCCTCCCGCATCTCTGCCCTCACCAGGGTCACAAGCTGTGACCTCCTTCCCACCTCCTGTCACTGATGACGCTGCCGCCGCTCTCATCATGATGCTTGAAAACGCCGCCACTCTTGGGGAAACTCCCCCACCACCCACCTTGCCTCTCTCTGTTCTCAAGGACTCGAAGTCAGCCGAACAGCAGGTAGTGCATTCTGACCAGTGTATATCTCGGCGGAGGTGTTCATTTGTCCTCTCACGTCGGTATGGTCCTGTAGGTTAGCAGTGCCGGGAATTCCCATACCTACAGCGCCTACGGTGTTCGCGGTGGAGCAACACCCGCCTGTTGTCCAATCTCGCCTACTCCACCACCGCCGCAGCCCCCACCACCACCACTGCCACCTCAACCGTCATCTGCCTCTACCCTGCATCGGCAGAACACTACAGTGTGCTCCGATCCCCGTTGCATCACTGCACATTGTCGGCGTCATGTCCAAGGTGGGCTTTGGGGCATCTGTAAACAGTACTGTGGATTTCTGTTGTGACCGCCCCCCAGGACCGTAGCACAATTTGGTGTGTCATTTGCTTTAAATCAACGCCAGTAGCAGCGCATGTGTGGATGCCTGTGCGTGCGAGTTTGTTGTCATCTCACGGCTTGTAGCGTGCGTGTATATGGACGCACGATGAGTCATTAGTAATGTTGCCGATACCACCGCCAGCACGACTCCATACCCAGTATGCTGCGCGTCCTGTTCGGCTCGCTATCGTTTGTGCGTGCGTGCGTGAGCGTGTCCCAGCCATACATACTGCACGCCGCCTGCACCGTGTGCCACCTTGTTCAGGCGTTGTGCGAGGTGCTGGCACCGCTTGAATAGCTGGAGGATTCCAGTCGTTCACTTGGCTCTGCTCCAGTACTGTGAAAAGTACCACTGACCATCCTGACTCAATGGCCTTGCACTCATTAGTGAATGACCGTGGTATTTTGTAAAACGTAAACTTAGCTCTAATGACACCACAACGTAGTTAAAGTGCTCTTACTTTGCAAGCCCTTAAGGTACTTTATTCAATTGAGATTTCCACAATCTGTCTGAGTTTCGTGCATAAATTTTTAACTCCCGTGTGACCTCTGAATATGTAATGAGGCTTGCTTGTGAAAAAAACGTACTTTACTAACGTAACTATGTTTATTTGAATGGGGTGAATGTTGTGTGCCCGGAGTGGCGACGGCGTTACACGTCCTCTCTCCCCTTCAAGTGTCGTTCTCGTCACTTCGAGAAGGCAGTCGATTTCAACAATCGCGGCAGGTCTTCCGACCCCTTTTTTTCTCCGAGTTGCAGTTTTGATACCGTTCAAGACTGCCTGATCACATTTCCTAGCGCAATCGGTATTCATAGGAGGATTTGTGTAAAAGGAGAGGGTTTCACATACTTGCTCCACCCTCCGTCGCTTCTGAATAATAGGACATTCCAACCTGAAGGTAGGTTAGTAGCAAAGTGAAATGGTGCTGGGGAGTTTAGAATGAAATACGGTTTAGGGTGGATCGGACGAGCTTACATTAGTCAAGTCTGGAGGTAGAACACTGCCCCTTTGCATGTTTTTTCTCGTAATGGGGGCGTTTTTGGCGTTTCCTGGGGCTTCTCTTTCACTTCGGCCGTTGCGCTTATGCGTACTGTAATTATCTACAAGGCAGAAGTAAAGGGCATACAATGATTTTTCATTCTGGTGGGTGAACTTTCGAATTAAAGGTAACTGTGGCTGCGAAGTGCCTTTATTAAGATTTATTTGACCCTATTTTGTAGAGGGTTGGGTGCTTTTCAACGGCGAGTGCATCCCACATGGCGATTTGGCCCTGGTTTTGCCAGATTTTTTGGTGGAAATACTCTTGGCTTTGATTCGTCCGCGAGGACGCAATTGGAAATAGAAGTCGGGAAACAGGGTCATCGTAAAAGTACAGAAGAGCTGGGAGATATGTAGTTTCATTTGCACGAATAGGGTATCTACCACCCCCGTGTTGGCAAGAATGCAAGTTAAACAACTTGAGTTTGAGTTTATCATGCAACCCTCAGGTCTCATAACTACTTAGCCCCGCGGTTCGGAGTTATCACGCATTTCCTTCTCCCCAGGTTCACCAGGCGATCACCAGCATCGTACCCCAACATCAATCGAACTAGCTGAATTGGCCGAAGCAGGCGCGGAAGCTGTTTTCGCCAACGGGGGCAATGGAGGTCGAACCACTACGATGACGACAACAAGCAGCAGCAGTTGTACTGATCCACTGCCGCCCTCGCCACCGAATGCCACTTCTGTGGTGCCCTCTTGTCCGAATTCGCCGGCTCCTCCTACACCTGCAGCTACTGCAGGAGTAGGAGTGACCCCGGCCCCAACGCATCTGATGCATCATATGCATCACCACCACATGCATCACATGCTGCATCACCTCCGTCCACCGTCTACCACCTCCGCAACGGCCAATGCTGCGGCCATCGCTCCGGTTCATCCCGCTCCTGCTGCTGCTCCTGTCTCTAGTAGTTCTGCGGTCTCCAACAGCACCACTACGCCAGATCATCGCTCGTCCTTCCAGGAGAGCATGAAGGCATTGAGAAAGGTACTCATCATTTTGCTACTCCCGTCTCTTTGATTGGGTGTGATTCACTGATGTGCGTATGTGTGCGTGTGCGTAACACCCCTGTTTGGGGACAATGGTTTTGGCTGGCGGCCAACACATTTGCCACTCCCCCCTTTCCCTGTCCCCTTCACTGCTACCGCCGTCATTTCCTCCCACCACGCACGTGTGGGTTTGTGTGCATACAGCTTTGCCTTCTCGGCGCGCGTTTGTACACACGTATGTATACTCTCTCTCTCTGTGCGTGTGTGTGTCTGTAAGACCGTTGACTCAACCTTAATGGTCGAGGTTGGCTCGTGCGCCTAAAATTCTCTCCTGGGTTTCCTCGACAGGGGTTGGATTCATCCACAAATGCGTCTCCTATGCCTTGTTTCAGTTTCGCATGCTTATGATACCATCTACCAATCCAAGTAGTTCTCTATTGTCCAAGCGAATCAACAAAACCACTTTCTCCAGCACGTATGTGCTTCCTTCCCTTGGTCTTGTAGTTGTTTACTTTCTCTCCTCTTACCCAAGTTTATGAACAGCTTTTTACCAAGTTGCTTTTATAGACGGGAGTATATGATACCTTTGTTTTCCGTCGAGGCATGAAAATCACGCCATGTCGGTTAGGTTTTCATTAGCGCTTTCAAACTCCCAGAAATCGCCATATTTTAGTACTTACAATGCCTGTCAACCATCTTGCCAATCCTGATAAGTCCTCACCACTCTTTCATCATGTGATCGCTCCAATTAGTGATTTTTAACCCTCGTAATTGGTGTATTTCTTTGATGGAATGATTTGCCGACTTATTCACTGCTATACTTGAATCGGCATGAAAAGCTGTGTAAAGTATGTATGGATGTACGCCAGCGAACTGTCTAACAAAACGCATTTCCTTGTGCTTTTGTGTGTATGTGCCTGTGTGCGCGCGTGTGTGCGTGCATGTGTGCGTCTCTTCTGGCATCGTGCCAACTTCTAGACACCTTTGGTTTGTGTGTGTGTGCGCCAACTCCTCTATGTGCCGTTGACCCTGACGCCTCTCCGCCCTGTCTCTAATGCCACCTAGGCAACTCATGTTGTGTGGATTACATGAAATTGAGTAATTTCTTGCCTGTCTTACTCTTCCAGATGGGCTGGTATTGGGGTCCATTAAGCTTCACTGAGGCAGAGAAGCTACTGGCAAACCGTCCGGATGGAACATTCTTGGTGCGGGACAGCGCTCATGACACCTTCTTCCTCAGCCTCAGTTTTCGTGTTAGGGGCACCACTTATCACACGAGGATTGAACACAATCAGGGTGAGTCAACACATTCAGCCATTTGACAAACCAGACGACTTGTATCGATCCCTTCTCTGTCTGTCCACCTCCCTCCCCAAATCAATCATGCGCCTGTCTAGCCCCCCTGTCCGTGACCTCATTCCTTCACGCGGTCTAGATATATCTTGTCGAGGATTCTCCTCACCACTTAGCCCTAACAGAAGTAGGTCAATTTGTAGTTGGATGAAGAAGACGAGTTTCTCGTACATGCACATTTGTGCACTTTCTCCTTCGGCAGCGGTGAGGAGCGGACGAAGGCCTCATGGCGTGTGGGCAGTAGTGGATGATGGGTAGAGGTGTAGGACCTGCGAAACGATGCGCGGTGTAGATGGTAAGGTAAAAGAATTTCAAGCCGCTGAACATCCGCGCACACACACACATTCATTGTCAATCTCGGTGCGCCACTAGCCCCCCGTATGTGTGTGTGTATTCACACACGCGCAGCACTTGCGTGACTTTGTTTGGCGTACTTGGCAGGCAGGCAGGTAGGCAGGCGGGCGCATAGCGAGCTGAATGTATGCAAACACACACACACACACACATACGGTTAGAGAGCGCGAGATGGTGCCAACACTTGGAACCACTAGCCCATTTGGCATCGTTTCACCCCGATTTGCTTAGTCGTCCCACATGTGCAAATGTGCCAGTGTTTTTAGACTGTGATACTTGGCTCTTGCACCTTGTGAGCTTACGAACACCGACTCAGACGTCTATTGTTTGTTTCCTCTCTGCCTCCATGCCATCTCCACCCTAACTACCTAATCGGCCAGCTAGGAAGCCAGCTCTTAAGGACACCCTTGTTTTATAATCACCGACATCACAGCAGCTGCTGCTATCATGGTGTGTGCGCGCATGCGAGTGAGCGTGTGTGCAGGCTTAATTCTTTGGGCAAGCGTGCTGCGTGTTCCTGTCCTGAAAGCCAGCCCGCTCGTGCGTACCTCCTATTGATTGGGTGCGTGTGCTAGCTAGCTGGCCAGCCAGGTTTTACGCGGATCGGGTGTTGTTGAAGCTCCTCTTTTACCGGCTTTCCCCCCGTTTCTATCTTTAAACGTCTCTATTGATGATTTCCTTCTCCATGCAGGACGTTTCAGCTTCTGGTTTGAGCCGGAGTCGCACAGCGCAAGTACAGTGGTGGAGTTTATTGAGAAGGCGGTAGCTCATTCAATTGGTGGGAAGTATCACTACTTCCTGCAGACCAGCACTCCTGGCCAACAGCCCGTCGAGGTCTCCCTTCTCTATCCCCTTTCGCGGTTCCAGGTTGTACAATCACTGAAGCATCTGGCTCGCTTCACGATTCTCTCTCACGTGCGTCGAGACCACGTGGCACGACTGCCTCTCCCCCCGGGGCAGATTGGGTACCTCCTCGAGAAGCAGGTCTACTGGGAGTCCTTAGAAGACTTTGAGGAAACTATTCGTGATCGTCCTCCACTGCAGTTCACTCCAGTCGCTGCCTCCTCATCCTCGTCCACCGCCAAGCCCTGAAACACTGCTTCCCTCCTTCTTACCCCTTTTTCTACTCGCACTTTCGTTTCGCCACCTTATTTCCTTTTAGAGCGCCAAATCTGTCTCTCCCCCCCCCCCCCCCCACCCCTATTATCCCTTTTGTACAGAGCAGTGGAAGCGTCATTTCAAATATCCTATTAGCGCCTTCAAGATGTGCGTGTGTGAGCGAGCGTGTTTTCCACCTTTTCCTCCAACTTCTCCTTTTTACTCTTTTACAGCCCGTCCCTGCGTGTACACATTTACACAGCGCGTTTTTATCCATCATTCGACCATCGATTTGTTCTCCTTATTCTTCCTCTTTTTCGCGACGCCAAAACCTCCTTAAAAAAGCGCCAGGTGAGAGCCGCACTTCCTCCGATCCCTCCTCCTTGTGTAGAACAAAAAAAATAGTCCCGACTTTATACACGTCTATCCACTTATATATATATATAAACATAAATTCTATATATGCAAATTGCGCTGGTTTTAGCATTCCGTGGGTCTTGAAATTGGTGTGGTTGTCAGAAGTCGATGCGGTTTTGATGGCTCTTGATTCGTTGATGTCCAGGCAACGAAATTGGGAACGGTGGGCTTCGTTCTGATTCCTCTTCCTCTTTGCTAATCCCTTTATGCAGTCCAAGGTCGGTGTGGCTGTCAAACGTCTAGGTTGGCTTTGATGGCCCTTATGTGGTTGTGGGCCTCCACAAACTCATTCAGACTTTCTCTTGATGCTTCTATGTGGTACTATGCCGTCGAAGTCGGGTTTGTTGGGTGTTCTTGCTGTTTCCACTGGTGTATCATCATCGGTCGTCGATGATGGCGTGAAAATTGGAAATTTAGTTTTTTTAACACACAATGGTGTTTGAGAGGCCAGCGTTTTCGGACAATATGAGGACGGGAAGGCTGGGAGAGGGGGACGGATAGGTCAAGCCCATCCCCCTATGGCTCAAAAGTCAGTCCATCTGGGAAGCTCCTTTTTCTTCTATAAAATTTCCGACTAGTAGCTAAAGGATTGGAGTAAATTCTCTGGCAAGAACTTTGTCTTAGTGGTGTCAAAAGGCAGTCCTGTGATGGCTTCTGTGTGACGCGTTTTCTCGGTGCTGATGGGGATTGACAGGGTGACGCATAGTCGTACGCCATGTGTAAAGAGAATAAGTGGTTGGGCGTGATGCCAAAAAAGTGGACATAGCTAACCTCAAGGCATAATTTCCTACCTTTGGAGTAAATTTTGTTGACAGAAAAGTGAATTTTAAAACAAATGAATGGCGTTAGAGGGGGCAAAAAATGGCTTCTTAGGATGCACTAGGATGCGCCTCTTCGAGAATTTTTGTCACCCTTTTTCTGAGAGGACAGAATACCTTGGATTGTGCATTTTGTCAACGATCGGTGCCGCATTAATCACATTCCTGTCACAAGATGACTGTGTTTGTGTCAGATCATTAAATATGCACATCCCATGTACCAAACTAGTCACAGAGACATGGATGATTAGGCCCCTTTGATTCGTCTAACTTGAATTTGCCTCTTTGTCAATCGTTAAATTCACTGTGGTGGTCAATGTCAATAATTAACAGTATCTCAAAGACCCTTTTGGTGTCGCTCTTCTACACAGCCTCCATCATTCTCTTCTGTGTAACTCTTTAGTCCGGTAGCCAATCAGAGTGCTTGGTCTTTCGAAGCGGGTCCGCTACCCGCCGTCACTGGAGTTTGAGACTGGAGTGCACTAAATTTTACCAACCAGCTTCAGACGAAGATAGGCATGACTCTTCCGTGCCCTCATTGGCATAATTCGACTCCTTAAAGGCAGATGTCATCGTTACTAGAAGTGTCAAATCTATCGAAGCAATGGCAGTGCTCTTTTAACACACATACACATCTTTAACCTAATTGGTCACTTTCTTAGGCTTGTCTTAATGTGTGTCTGCGGCTGAACTTGTGTAAATCTTCTACCCTCACTCACACATTGTCTATCTACTTATTAAAGTCCACTTCTCTGCTTGAATGTGTGAACAAAGATAATGCAAATAGTCAGTGGCAGTTTGGATGACCTACTCTCTTGTCACTTCTCTAACTCCACTATGAACTTCATCGAGTAGGGAAATTTAAAAATTTAAAGGCTAAACTTCCATACTTCATACATAAGGACACTTAGGAATCAAGAACACTCCGCCCCACCCCTTATAAGAAACCCACGGGTTTCAGTGGCCCTAGTGTTTTCAAGGAGTTCCCAAAGAGAGGGGCATGCTGAACAAGCCCAGGAGTGGTGTTTTAATGCCCCAGCTAACCAAGCGGTCAGTTGAATTGCCCAATTTCTAAGGCCTGCCTGTCCTCGCCTCCATCATTTCAACCACTTGTCGTGTTAAGACACCCACCTGTAGGGGTAAACCCTACTAGGTCTTCAAGGATGACTCGATACACACAGATTTAAATATACAGGTACAATTTTACAAACCACAACTCTATTGGACCTTGTGAAGCGTCTCTCAGATTGAAAAACTAACGCAGTCACTATGGTACAGGGCTGTCAAGAGACATGAAATGCGATGTCACCGGGGTTTTTGTCAACATAAACCTTGGCCTCTGACATCAAGTGTACGTCAATACTCTCTCCCTTCCACCTCGTCTCCTCTAACCTCGCCCCGCCCCCCCATCTCTATTGTTCCAGTGCATTCAAAACGACCGCGCATTTTGGCTTATCAGGAAGGTCGCATCATTATTCCCTAATGGTACACAAAAACAACGGAATTTTCCAAAAGGTATAATTAGGAGACCAAATTACGACACATGATCATGAATTTAAAAAGTAAGACGCTTTACTCAAGTTGTATTGTGGTTCGGATTAAATAAAAGTAAAAAGAGAGTTTGGGGTTAGAATCAGCATATTGGGAGAACCCTATCAAATGCAATCGCACACACATCTGACGGTGTAAAGTCAACAAAAAAAGTAGAACAATGACAGTCTGTAGCACTGAGTCATTTTTTACACCCCAATGAGTTCGCTTGTCATAGCCTCAGCATTTGATGAATCCACCAATAGAGGGCAGTCATTCCTCCGTTTAGTCATCAAATCAACTAGGAGTGAAAACTATGATATTGATTCTACAGCACCACGTCTACTTTGACAAGTAAATAAGACATGCCAACAAGACGGAATGTTTGGTGTTAAAGTACCGAAAGTTTAAGAAAAGCACTGGTATGTACAAAGCTTCGTTTTCAGATGTTCTGTAGAGCCGCTCTTCTGTATCAGTCATGGCGAGTCCTCCTCCATCGTATGATTGACTTCCTTAAGCACTATAACGAACTTTGACGAGAAGTTCATTTGAAAAGTGTCAAAGTCTAAGCACTCTTTTAATGCAGACGCATTTCACATGTTGCCAAAAAAAGGCAACGTCAGGCTGGCGAGTAGCAGCACCATAAATCAGTGTCTCCCTAGCCTGAGAAGGAGGTTGTTAGGATCATTTTCGAGTCCTTTGAACTCCTTCTCTCACTAAAGTGGTCATTACATGGAACTCCAAATTGCGGTTCTTGTCTAAAAGACGGTGCTGCTTTGAAAACTCGTCTATGGTACTTTGCCAAGGGTTAAAACTTCTTCTGTAGCCTTAGGCGCGGCAAGATGTGAAGAAATGCTTGAAGGTAGATAAAGCTGCTCGGTGGATTTGATTATTTTGTTAGAAAACAGCCTTGTTTATCCAAATGCGCCAACAACGAATTCGCAGAAATTTTCTAAAGAATTAACGCGGTACATACTACTCAATTTGGTTTGAGTATTTGGTCATACTCAAGAAGGAATTACTATTAAACTCGTCAAAAAGTGGCAATGGCGACAGCTTTTGAAAGGAGTGAGTTAATACTGCTAATGAGTTCTATCCTGCGCAATCGCATGACAAAAGTTCCTACGTTGTACACACGGTCCCCAACAGCACATAGAGCAGCTCATTTCTGTCACCGTCTTTGACTCTCAGGGTGACTCCAATCAAATTTCTTAGCTTTCACTACTGCCAGTCTTTATTGCACCTTCAAGAAGGACTCAAAAATTTAGACTCACTGCCATACATAGACTAAGTTGCGCAACCAGAGTGTGAGATAGTGAAGAAGAAAAAAAAATAGCTGTAGGCTACTTTAATGAGGCATTTTAAATGACTCTGACTAGAAGGAGGGGGCGGATGTGATAGAGAAAAAATGGGAATGACAGGTGTACTTTTGTGTGTAGAATAAGCTGCGAATCACACAATGCCAGCCTAAAGTCTGGTTAGATGGACTAGGCTAAGGTGGTTACTTCAGACCTTGTTCTTCAGGCAAATTTTGCATTTTACCTATTTAGCAGATCGCATCACTCTTCAGTAGTAAAATTTTTTTAAGTTCTTGAACCTCAGCTTTAACCAAAGCAGTTGCTCAAATAACCAAAGGTGACAAGGTTTGAGAGGATTCGAAAATGAGCATGATCATCGCAGTGTTTCAAGGTTTCTTGTCCTGTTAATTGATCATTAAATAAAATTAACTAACTGATCAGTAAAAAAATTATCTCACCGGTCACGATGTCTTCCTCTTCATCACTCACTCTCATGCGGTGTCGTCCATGATGTCATCCAATGCCTAACTTTCAAGCAGTAGCAGTCCCATCCGATTGATTGACTTTTTCAAGGGGAGCAAATAATCCAGCCCATGTAGACCGGAAAGTCCTCTTTTCCTTAGGGAATCAGGAATGTATTCTTGCCTAAAATAAAAAAGTAGAGACGAAGGGAGGAGTTTCTTGTTCTGAAAAACGCGTAACTTTCGCTTCGCGTTCACCATTTTCGGTCAAGCGTCTCGGTGGCACAGGATGGCATAATAGACTATTTCATGCCTTTTTCTTCTTGGTCAGTCGGGATTCCAGATTGCCCTGAACTTTCACCTTCGTTGGCAGATGAAGAGCAAGAGGCTTCATGCTCCATAATACAGTGATTTGACAAGGTCAAAGTGACCATTCTCGATTGTTGCAGGTGTCACCCTTCTATCAGCAT